CATCCCCACCCCTGGCACCCACCCACCCAAAGGCCTGTCTCAGCCCCCGCTGGTGAGGACGGCAGCATGTCCCTGCCTCTGAATGCTGAGGCGCTGAAGCTGCCCTGTTGCCCTATCCCAAGGGGGTCCTTGGGGACTAGCCTCCAATTCCAGGACCTCCTGGGGCTGAGCTAGCAGATGAAGTCCCAGACCTCAATGGTGCAGTCTTGGGCAGCCCTGTCTGAGCTACAAGGACTGACTACCGCAGGCTCCTGGAGGATCAAGAAAGCCAGGTGGGACCACGGGATGCTCTCCTGACCTTGCTCACTGTCGCTAGCTGGGCCCTCCAGGTGTCCTGGGTCTCCTCCCTGCCCCACCTCAGGAACCTTGAGTGCAGAGGCCTTGGGGTGGCAGATTCAGTACTGCTCACCAACTCCCTGTGGTTACACCCAGGCTCCTACCATCCCCAAAGGCAGTTAGACGCCCTCGCAGGACAGAAATACCCAGCTCCCAGAATGCCCTGTGCACTCAGAGCACCAAAATACCCTCATTCCTTCCGGCCCAGCCATTCTTAGGGTGTTTAGTGCGTAAGGCCTGGCTCTACCTCACTTAGTGCTGCCTCCCACCAAGACCCTAGGTGTCACATCAGAGCCCAAAGTGAGTGCGTTCAGACCAAGACCTGGCTTGTCCTTGACAAGCACAATGGTGTCCCCTCCCTGTACAACCCCCCAGATCTCCCTCAGCCCTCAGTTCTCAGACACCTGCCTCATTCTCAACCTGTACCCACCCTGCCCCTGCCTTGCTATCGTCCTTGCAGGGGATGACCATGATAGAATTCTAGGCAAGACAACTCTGGACAGAGGTCTTTCTAAGGCCCAGACTTGCCAGTGAGGAAACTGAGGCTCAAAGAGGACAGGCCAGCCTGACGCAGAGCTAGGCCAGATCCCTGTTGTGCTGAGTGGCACAGGGACTGAGAGTATACCCTTGGGCCACTGACCACATGGATCCTCCACACAGTGCCAGCATCCCAGGATCAGCATCTGGCCAGGACAAATAGGGGCTGAAACCCAAGCTGCGGGGGCTGGCAATTGAGAACACATTCCCGGACAGCCAGGGCTGGGTCAGCAGGAGGACAGGCTCTGCTCTGTGGCCCAGGCCCCATGCCTTGCAGGACGGGTCCCCTGCCTGGGCCCCAGGCCCCTGAGGCCAGTACACAGAGCTGAAGCCCAGGGAAGGCCAGGAGCCTCACCCACGTCTGCCCGGCATCAGAGCCCTACTCCGCTCTTGTCCCTGGGCCTCAGAGGTATTCAGGGCAAGGTGGCCAGGTATGCTTTCAAGGTCTGCCTCCCGAGGTCCTCGGGGTATAACAGCTCCCCGGGTTGGGGTCCTGTCCTGAAGAAATGTTTGACCTTCTCAGCTGCTCATAATGTTGAGATTCTGGGCCCCTTCAACCTCTTCAGGGGTCCAGGGAGGGGCCTGCACCAACATGTTAGGACAGGCACATCCCTAGGGCTCTGGTGACGTAGAAAGAAAAAGCTGTAGAATATGCACCCCCATCCCCTCCAAGCAGAAGACAACGCATATTTTATAAAAGGTAAACTGAGGCCTGAAAGAGGGGAGAAGATCTACCCAGATCTTCACAAACTGCTAACAGGAATTTCAGGCACTCATACAGAAGTCAGTTTTGCAAAGCCTCTTAGCCACACCTCATCCCTCATGGGCCACAGCCTTGGCTGTAAACTTCTCAGTCTTAGGATGCAGGTGAAGTGCCTGTTGGAGACTTGGCTAGAAAGGAGAAGCACTGTTCTTTGGGAAAGAGAAGGAAACTGAGGCCCAGAGTGGGGACATGCTGATGGGCTGCCAGGCACGGTGGCCTGGGCTCTTCGAAGACACTGGGGAGCTAGGACAGCTCTGGAGCAGAAGGTTTAGACGCAGCCAGTCTCTGTTGGGGCCTTGGCTGCCCCATTTTTATTTGGCAACTGCAGGAGCAAATGTGTAGCAGGCACTGAACTCTCTCTGCTAGGACCTAGGGTGGGACGGTTGAGGGGCAGGCATGGAAGGGCCTCAGGCCTCATTGTGGTGGCTACAAGTGCAGGGAAGCAGAGAAAAGCAAGACTGACATGAGGGGACCAGGATCTTACCCAGAACACTGCCAGTGGGATATGGCCTCTCAGTAGGTTTGTGCATATTTGCATACCTTAACGCTATCAGAGAAGAGTCCCTATTCTCTGGCTGGGGGGGTAGGACAGGGAGCACTTCTCAGACCCCAGTGCTACTCTGTAGCCCAGCTTATTTTTCTCACTCTGGCCTGTGGTGAGCTTCTGATACAGTGTACAGTGCAGGAAGATGAGGGAATGGGGTGTCCAGGAGAGCCAGGGCCCCTAAGAAGGCCGGGCAACCCTGCAGCATCACCCACCAACACCCAGCCAGGGCAGCCCAGCAGCGGGATCCCAAGGCACCAAGAACCCCTGCTGGTAAATGACCTCAGGGAGCTAAAAATGGGCGATGACTTCACCAAGGCAGGCAGGCAGAAGCATGAGTCAGCGGGTGATCACTGAAAGGCCTGGCCCCCATTACACACGCCTGGGCACACACATGCAGACAGGGACCTGGACACATACATGTGCATGTACCTGGTCCTTCTAACAGGGATACGTGTATGCGTGAGCGCCCAGCCTGGCTCACAGGCCTGAGCACAGCACTCTGCTCTAATGAAACCCAGTGCACAGTGCCCACCGTTTGCAGAGGCACTGCACATATGCACACATCCCCATCACCTCCTCCTGTCTTCCACCACATGTCCAGACTCCCTCAACCAACACTTATGTGTCCACGATGGGGGTCTCAGAGATGGCAGCACATGCGGGAACTGAGGCCTGGGGTTGGGAGAGGCATAAGATCGATTCTCAGCTTAGGCCTCTGCAACATCTTTAGGGTGGGGATATGGGATCACGGGCTGATGACTAGCACAAGCACAATTGGCACTTAACAGAGACAGTTGACCAGGGTGCGTGGATACTCGTCTGGCTTCAAGGCCCTGCTCTAGGGCCCAATGTCCCATGTATACCTATCCAGGCTGACCTCTGGCCCTGTAGCCCCAGGTCCCCCCAGACCCCAAACATGAACATGAGCCTGAACAAACTACCCCAACACTCTCCCACTTCCCAAATCCTGCCAAGTCCTGTCAACTATTTCTTGTCACCCCTTTCCCAGCCCCCGCCTCATCCTTGCCACTCTCACTGAGACCACTGCCCAACCTCCCATCACCCACCCTCCAGGGCCCAAATCCATCCTATAGTACTCCCATCCATGGTTCACCTGGTCCATGGTCCACAGGTCCAGCCCAGAAAGGGGCTGATGCCCAGGCCTGGGGTTTCCCATAAGCTTCCTTGAACTTATGGCAGATGCCTAGTCCAGGACTCAGAGTAGGGGCTGAAGTGGCCGGTATCCCAGAAAAGTGGACCCAACCATTCACCACTGCTCTCAAGAGGGTCCGAGTGGCACAGAGCTGAGTAGGGCAAGAGGGCCCAGGCCCTGTCACACACCAGGATTCAGCTTCTTCATACAGAAACAGGAAGGACCCAGGTGTCAAGGCCGTGGAGCACGTAGAACTGTGCCATTCCACCTTTGTGGCCAGATGTAGGACAATGCACTGAGGAGCCACCACTTGGGCAAAAGCCTACAACAGCTTCTGGGGTGAATGTGGCAGAGGGAGGGGACAGAGAAAAGAAGCGAAGTCGTAATGGGGAGCAAGCTAGACTGAGGTCCCAGAGGCATGCATCTACCTGTACCGCCTGCACTTGACAGATGAGCACCCATGGTCTGTATCATGAAGAACAAACCTCAGGGCAGGTGTCTCACCCTATCCATGCCCTGCTGACAAACACAGGGGATGGGTTAAGGTGGGATCTCACATCTGGCTCCCATAACCCTCTAGGGGCCAGGCTCCCAGAGGGCACAAGATGGCTACTGATAGATGAATGAATGGAGTGGTGGAGGAGTGACGGCCCCCTTCCCATCAGTATGGCCATCTCGGATGGACTCAAGGACAAGCCAGGCTGGCATCTCCCATCAGAGAATAAGCCTTTGGCTACCACAGACGCCCTCTCCCTTAGTGCCCATGGCCTAGTCCTGGCAGATGGGAGCTCACCCCTTCACAGCAGCAGTCCCTCTGCCAGGGCACAGCATCACGCTGAGTGGCAGCGAGACCAACAGGTAATGAGTGACCAGGAGACTGGGGGAAGAGGCTTGTGGGGGACAGAAAGCAGAGCTGGCTGTCACCGGCCCTAACTTCCCCAAGCCCAGCCCACATCCATCAACCACATTGTAGCCCAAATTCCCTCAACTTCCCCAATGGCACCTCCATCTCTGGGGTAGTCAGTGGTCAGACCATGGGGGCAACGCCACTGATGAACATCAGGCAGAGACCTAGCTGTCCCAGGAGGCAGGTGTGTGGGAGACCTACCTCCCAGCACAAGAGGTGCAGGCGGTTGCTCCTCCACTCTTTCTGGGCCTATTACAGGATTTTAGAGTACAGGCTTCTCACCTGTCTCCCTGCACCCCAGTACTGGAAGGCCGCCCGAGATTTCCTCAGAGACCCCCTCAGGCCTCCGCAGGTGGGCAGGGCAGTCCTTCACCCCACCCCTCACGTGCGCTGCCGCGGCAGACAGCGCTTCCATTAAAGCTCCCTCAGGAAGCTCCTTCGCAGGTCCCCAAAGTCGGAGCGCGCGCTGGGGCTTTGGAGGGGAGGGGGTGCCTAGTGAGGCCCCGGGGGCAGAACTAGCCGGGCTTCCCCTCTCAGGACTTGGCCACCCTCCTGCACAGAGGGGGCTGCTCCAGAAGGCCCTTACCCCTCACCCCTGTCGCCAGCACCTGTCTTGGGCGCTGGGTTAGGGGTGCCCCACCCGGTGCCGCTCCGCTCCCCGCGCAGGGTCGCACCTCCCGGGGCCCCCGCGGCCCCGCCCGGTGCACAGCC